CCAATCATGTCAGTTTTTTTGGACTAGGGTTGGATGATTGAGATGATCTGGGTCTGACCCAATGTCAATGTGTGACTCTGAACAAGTTGGTTAGTCTCTAGCCCACTGTTTGCCTCATTTGTATTCGACTAGACAATTGGACCATCCTTTGTTCACCTCATAGAGGGAAAATGATATGAGTATTAATAAAATTAAATACTATTTGACACAACATTGTAAAATGACTATAACTCAATAAAAATGTTTAAAATAGATAAATAAATAAATAAATAAATAAATAAATAAATAAATAAATAACCACATCTGATTTATGAAGGAAAAAAAATTAAATACTCAGGTACAAGCCAATGAACTAAGCTGATGCTCCAACTCTGGGTATGCTGATAAGTTCCAGAGTCCCTCTTCAGGACAAACAGTGCTTCTGCCAATGCCCAGCTCAGGGCTGGGAGGGGTCACACCCAGATGCACACGCACCCAGAGGAAGAGCTCCTCTTCTTCCTGTTCTGTTCCATCTCTCCTCCAACCTATTGCTTGAAAAGTCACCATTAGTCTCCAGCAAAGATGTTCACACATAAAACCTCCTTCCTCCCTGGCATTTCCTTGTTCTCTTCAGGGGACCCTACCTCTCTGTCTTCCATCACTCACAGTTCAGTCTATTTATGCACTTATTTTCCCACAAATCCTTTTGCTCTCTCCCTTTATTTCCTAAGCAAAATTTCAGAAGACTTTTCTATTTCACTTATGAGATACAAAGTTCCAGTCTTGCCAAAGAAGTCTGAGTAAAAATAACGATGCCCTTCACTAGGGAAAAGAAAAGCTGGAACTTTCAAAGTTAAATGCAACTTACTAAGAAACAGGGATGCCTGTCTCTAAAGTTCTCTAGACTGTTGGTTATCTTCAGAATTTCTGCAATTTCATGGTTTTTAAAAACGTAAACCTATTTATCTGTTATCACAAGCAGTTGAAATATACACAGAATGCTAGAGTATTTAATTTTCCTGTTTTTAGTTATTAGTGTGGCTAAAATTGTGTGCTACAAATGTAATATGTTAAGTTCCTACAGGTAAA